CACATATTTCAGATAAATTTAAAAATATCATAAAGGATCTTGACATGAAACTGTCTTTCTATAGTATGAGCAAGCTTCAATCGTTTATAAGACCGCAAAAAGACACGCTACCGACTATAGAGAACAGAAATGTGGTATATGAAATTTGTTGTAAAGATTGTGACGCAACATACGTTGGACAAACAGGCAGAAAGCTTAAGACGAGAATCGTTGAACATCGCAACCAAATCAATAGAACATCATGTACTAAATCTGTTGTTATACAACATAGATTGGAGGGACATGAATTTGATTGGATAAATGTTAAAATTAAAAATAGTGAGAGATATTTTAACAGAAGATCAGTCGCGGAAATGCTTTATATTGCGTTATAATCTAATGGGCTAAATTTGCAATCGGATACTGAATTTTTACATCATGCTGTCAATATTTTACAGAGATTTAAATAACATATATGACACGCGAGAACGCTTCTTTACACGACGTATTCAAGTCTGTTACTTTCTGTTCTCCTAGCTTGTTATTATTTAGTTTAAGACAAAATAGCACCGAGCATATTAAAGGTTGTTCATTACACAGCAATCCTCTATATTGATATGTCACATAATTTCTATCGTGACAATATTTTGATTTTTAATTCCGTTAATTGGAATATTGATTTGTGCGTATCGTGATTTGCTTGCTCTTTCCCTTCGGTTGAGTTGCATCTGATGAGTTATCACTTTCTTTTATCATATACAGCATTTTTATTTGTTTTTTCTTGTTTCAATCAGATAATTGTTAAGCGTTGGAATTTGACAAGTGCTGTTATGCTTCCAACCGTCATCGGAATGGTTAACTGTGAAGGATGCCGTTTGATCGGAGTGATGAAGTCAATCAATCTGACGTGTGTGTATCTTTGATTGAGTGGATTTACGTTAGCTTGACTCGCTTTCTTGCGTATTATCATGGGGTTTGGATTGTAATATGTATATTTTTTGTAATTTAATTTCACTGAAGATGACTGGAATTCAGTCGAAACGTATGAGATTTTAATTTTGTAATTTTTTAATATATATATATTTTTTGGATATTTAAACATCTCCACATTAACGCATTGTCAACCGCGTAAACATTAATTTACTCTCACGCGCCCTTTTTTTAATGTATTTGATTGTTTGTTTATCGAGAGTCCAATATATATGTTAATATTTTTAAGTGTTACAAGTTTCGACTCTCGGATTGAGCCCTCCTCAGACATATTAAAAACAGAAATAATATTATTGCTGATTTATTTTGTTTGATTTCTTTTGAGATATTGTTATGCATGAGACTTTTCAATCGTTTGTAACCAATGTTGTTTTTCTATGAAGACTCACAAGATTAATGGAAACTGTATGAACGATCTTCAACGATTAAGGGGCTATACCAGTGTGAAACTTTAAAAAAAATCGAAATTTTTTTTTGTCTTATTCGACAGTTTATACTTTTAAGAATATCCTGTGAAATTTTCAAGGCCGTATCTCTAATACTTTTCGAATGGCAGCCTTCTAAAGAGCAACCGCTCGCAGGTATAAACTGCTCCATCTACCTAGGGGGGGAGCGTCGGAGCTGATGTGCCGTTACCCGAATCTTTTGTATTGTAAACATACTGATTTGAGTTCAAGGGAATTACTAGAGCGATGTAAAGGAAGAAACACGCAGAATAACAATGAAAGTTATAACGGCTTGTGGCACTTTGCTCCAAAGCACCTTCACAACGGCATGAAGACGATCAAGTTCGCTAATTTCCTTGCTGTCTCAATATTTAATGATGGTTTTTATAGTATTTTAAAAATGCTACAAGTAATGGACGTCATTATCGGTCCTATTGCAAAAGAATATACCATACAGAGAGATGACAACCGAATTAACGAGGCGGAGCTACGTCATAAAGCGTCCTCAAAAGAGGGACGAACAGCTCGGAGACAAGCTTTAGCCTCTCAGCAGGCATTATTCGAGGAGGAAGAGGGTCCATTGTATGGGCCAGGTATAGCTGATTAGCAGTTTTTATGGTAAATATAATTTTATCTTGCAAAAATCGTTAGTTTAATCTTTAAACGCGTTTTTCTCGAAATGACATTTTTCAAATTTGCTGCCATCGTAACTCAAAGAGCAATTATCCGATTGACTTCAAATTTTAACTGAGTACTCTTGAATATATTTACTCTACAATGACCTAGGATTTTTTTGATTGGATGAAAATTGACGATTTGGCATTTAAAAAACGACCATATTTTTGACCAAAAAAAAATTTTTTTTTGATAACTATGCCATTTTGTTAAATTTTGATATTTTTCGAAAATTCTACGTCATTGTATAGGAAATACCTTCTAGTTTAACGACTTTTTTTTTTTGTTTCAGCTACTTATTCGGCTGGAAATCGTGGCAGCAGTGGAGGAACTTTTTTTTTTGGCGCCTCCGAAGACAGTGCATAAGTCGCTCATTTTTAAATATTTTTTGATGAAAAAATTATGGAATATAGTTTAAATATAGCTTAATATGCTCTTAAATTTTTTAAATATTTTATGAAGCATTTTTCTTTTAAAAAATTCCCGAAAATCACCCAAATTTTCAGCGTTCACACTGGTATAGCCCCTTAATTTTGTCCGCCGTTTTTTAATATGTCTGAGGAGGGCTCAATCCGTGAGCCGAAACTTGTAACACTTATTTTTATATTTATTAATTATCATAGTTATTTGTTTGAAGGCGAATTAGCGTTAAGTAATGTTTATTAAATTAATTATCGAAAGTAGTTACTAATTATATGTTTTATAGTTGAACCTTTTTTGTCTCTTATATTGCCCTTGTCTTCTTATATCGTCCTTGTTTCTTTTATAATTTCATATATACAAATATTACACCGAGACATTCATCGTTTATATAATAAAGGCGGTACACCTACAAATTTACATTCAATACATACACCATTATATACATTTTACAATACAATTATTTGACAAGGAAAAAAGAAAAAAAGGAGGATGCTTAGGGTGGTCCTTATTTTTCGAACACGGAATTTTTTTAGTCTTATGATTCAGAATGATTCCTTTTTATAAAAAAAACAATCTCTGGAAAATTTCAGCTCAATTGGATTATGGCAAAAGGTGCCGAAGGACAATTGATTTTTTATATGTACTGATTGTTAAGATAAATGAGTATTTTACATACAATATAAATCTAATATTAAATATAAATAAATTTCTACAAATCAATTAAAGAAGACTGTCGAAAGTTTCAAATAACAAGAATATAAAGGCTAATGAGACCTATTCGCTGTTATTAGTGCGATCATATATAAGATATGTTAAAGAATGAATTTTATATACTACGTAAGTAGTTCCCCCCTATAGCGCGTCGAAAATCCTTCGAACTTAAAAACAAACTTAATATGTTTTTTAACATATTATTAAGATACAATTTAGATGCTATAAGTATCAAAAATTGTGATATTACTACGGTAGTTGATTAGATTTGCGTTTATAAGTCCGAAGAATTTTCGGCGCGCCTTGGGGTTGGAACTATACTTACGTAGTATATAAAATTCACTCTTTAACATATCTTATACATGATCGCACTAATAACAACGAATACTTTTTTATAAATCTAGTGACTTTATCCAATATGAGCTTGTAACAACTAGAGTCCCTATAATAAGGAGTCTGGCCAAGTCATTATTAATTCTATTGATGCTGATAAAATATGGCGGAACCAATAAGATATGCCTCAAATATATACATGTATGTTCTTTACGCGCGCTATTATTCAATTAACGGGAATGGTATAATAAAAGAATAAACTTATTTTTATTAGTATGGAAAATTCCTCATTGAAAATCCTTTTTTGGTACTATTAAAGCAATAAGACACGCAGCAGCCGGGCATTTTCTATAAAATTTGTTAGTTATAATGCACATTTTGAATAGATACAATTTTAAAGGTTAGAAATCGATTTTTATGTCAGCATGTATAATTTGTTTTCTATTATATGTATATATAATAGAAAACAAATAAAATAAATATTTTTTTAATACATAATTTGATAAAAGATCACAGACTGTGTAAAAAGTAAGTGAAATATATATATGTATATTTCACTTACTTTACACAGTCTGTGATCTTTTATCAAATTATGTATTAAAAAATTGGTTATTTTATTTATTTATAATGATTATATACTGTTTACGATATATTTATAGTATCACATCAGCTGACCACACCTTTATCTACGACGCCATGTTTTGTCAAACTAGAAAGATTGGTCAGACTCCTTATTATAGGAACTCTAGTACGAACCTGTGTGAACAAGAGAGCGTCTCGTTCCCAACCATTCCGTCAAAAACTTTAAATTATGAATTCAAAGAGATAAATATTATAATATGAATGACAGAAACGCCACAATCGACCAAATTTTTAGATGTTATGATAATACATATTATGAGAGGCGACCTAATTGGAATAAATATTGTAAATATTACAATACTTTGTGCATGCCCAATTATTTGGATAATAGATTAAAAACATTGAATAAATATTAATTATAAATATTATTTATATATTTATAATTAATATTAATATAAATGTAAAATATACTATTATATTCTATTTTATGATTTTAGATGTCTTTCGGCACTCTTTCCCGTAATCCAAATCTAAAATTTTACAGAAATTATTTTTTCTTAAAATGGAACCATTTTATGGGGTGAGACAATAAAAATTTAAAAAAAATTTTGATCTAATATAAATAAGAACTACCCTAAGGATGCTGTGTGTGTGTAGAAAGAATATAATTAGGCTGCGTTCGGAAACATCACCCGAGTACCCCCGTGTATCGTCTTATCCTTGTTGTCCACCCATGTTAAACGAGGATAAGACGATCATACACTGGGGCATTCGGGTGATGTTTCCGAACGCAGCCTTAAATGGACAGCCAAGGAACACACAGGGAACCAACACGACATTCGTCGAGAATGCCATTATGCCTTAGAAATCCCAGTTATGGCTATTTTTTCGTTTGGCAAGCTCTTGTGCCATCAAAAGAGCTTCCCAATCGCACCCATCTTCTAATAGATTTTCTTCATTCTGTTCATCGTCATCCTCGTCTGTCTCCTGGTTATCTTCGCTGTCAATATTTTGTGAAAGACTACAAACGAATTCTTCTTCATCGCTTGTATCGATGTCAATCATTATGTTATCATTTCTCATCAATCTATTTGATATTGGCAGCTCCTGTAGCTCCAGAGCACCTGAAAGCTGCTCCCAAGATCGACTGCTGCTTGAATCGATTAATGAATATCGATCGTGAGTCCCGAGGATGGAACTATCACGCATGAAAGCGTTATCTTCATCCTCTTCCATAGAAGCTTGATGTTCAATGCTGTCCCTGCCGGAAACGTCCATGCTTGGCTGTTTTCCTTGCTCTAATTGCTGAATGCGTGACTGTAATTGCGATATTATATCTTCACGCTGATGTACTTCCAACTCTAATGAAGTGAGCTGTTGCTCAAACTTTTTCTGTACTTCATCCTGCAACGCCAAAAGTAGTGGTATAATTAATCGAAACAACGACCGTATGTCACACAAAGGGGAACTTCTGCAAGCGGCGTTAAATATAATTGCTGGGCTTGATGCACGTACATCTGCATGCATGGTGATGAAAAGTACCAGTTCGGGATTTTAGGAAACATTAAAATGGTGATGGGTTTAATTTTGCAGAATTACACGAGCGAATACGGCCTTCTTTGCTTCACAAGAGCAGAAAAGATAATAGCAGATCTAAAACAATTCAAAATTAAAAATAAATAAATTAATGTCTACGCGGTTGACAATGCGTTAATGTGGAGATGTTTAAATATCCAAAAAATATATATGTATATATTAAAAAATCAAAAAATTACAAAATTAAAATTTCATACGTTTCATTACACAGCAATCCTCTATATTGATATGTCACATAATTTTCTATCGTGACAATATTTTGAGTTTTAATTCCGTTAATTAGAATATTGATTTGTGAGTATCGAGATTTGCTTGCTCTTTCCTTTCGATTGAATTGCGTTTGGTGAGTTATCATTTTCTTTTATCATATATAGTATTTTTATTTGGTTTTTTCTTGTTTTAATCAGATAATTGTTAAGCGTTGAAATTTGACAAGTGCTGTTATGCTTCCAACCGTCATTGGAAGGGTTAACTGCGAAGGATGCTGTTTGATCGGAGTGATGGAGTCAATCTGGCGTGTGCGTATCTTTTATTGAGTGGATTTACGTTAGCTTGACTCGCTTTCTTGCGTATTATCATGGATTGTAAGATGTATATATATTTTTTTGTAATTTAATTTCACTGAAGATGACTGGAATTCAGTCGAAACGTATGAAATTTTAATTTTGTAATTTTTTGATTTTTTAATATATATATATTATTTGGATATTTAAACATCTCCACATTAACGCATTGTCAACCGCGTAGACATTAATTTACTCTCACTCGCCCTTTTTTTAAATGTATTTAATTGTTTGTTTATCGAGAGTCCAATATATACGTTAATATTTTTTAAAAATAAATTATTAATAAAAGATAAATAAAAAAAGAGTAAACGATAAATCTATTTAGTGGCTTAATAATACAAAAACAAAGTAAAAGGTCGAGCATTTGCTACGCACTGGATGTGATGTTTGTAAAAATTACATATATTCTTTTCTTAAAAATACAAAGTTATTTATATAGACGTTTCGATCCTAAATATGGTCATCTTTAGTATATACAATATTAGTAGTATTAAAACAATGCAAAAAGAAAGACAAAAGATTAAAAATTCAAGAACGCAACAAAATAATTATTTTTACAATTGTCAGTAACGCTTACGCATGTCACATTATTTTCTTAATTATAATTTTGAGAGTTCTAGTTATTTTAAAGTTGCAAAGTTTTGTATTAGTTGTTTCTGTCATTGTGTGTAATGTCCGTTTCTTTTACGAAAAAAAGAGTAAATTTATTTTTGCCAGTAGATTTCGCCGATAATTTATACCGTCAATAAATGTCGATATTGAAAGTGTCGGTTAGATGTTTCTGGCGTTTCTAATAGGCTGGGAACATCCCTATAATAAAGGCACTTCCACGTGATGACAGGGAGCGATACACAAAGCTCACCCATTGAAGGTGGGGACACAAAGGAAACGGCAATCGCGCTTCTCACTCACCATGCCTGCCTTGATGATCTCGCTGACTCCAAAAAGCAATTTGCTCAGATACTCCTCCTGCAACTGGCACAATGTTTGCAAAACACCACCGGTACTACTCACAGGACTGAATTTACTCGGCCGAGATGGCAATTGATCTTGGGTGTTGGATTGCGGTGGTGAGGTCTGCTCGGATGGCGGGCTCTGCAGCGTGTACTTATTGAATGTCACACGCTTAGATAACTTTGACCGTCGCGCAGCATATCCTTCAATTGTTGGAGCTTTCATCTTGTTCTCTGGCGATAGTTGCTCCGATCCAGCTCCAGCCTCTCGTCGATCCTGTCAAAAACAAATTTCTAAATGGAAAGTTTGATATATTAAAAAATTATACAATTACATCGTGTTTTAATTAAACTCCATTTCCTGCATTTATTATATTAATAATTATTATCAAGAAATAAAATTGTTAACAATGCGTTAAACGTCCTCAATGTTGATGCATCTAAATTTCACAAAAAAATTTCCTTTGCAGTTTGTAATATTTAATTGCATTTGTAGACATCGATATTTAATACTTCGCTTTAAGCATTACTGTATTGTACGTTCCTCTCTACCTCTGGAAGTTGCCAAAATAGCCGACTCTTTTCTTTTTTCTCAACAAACTAAATCTTAGTAAATTTTATTTTATACTATTTTTTATTTAATGCTTTCTGTCACTTTATTTTTAAAAATATTGTTCAAAGATAGACTGTATAAAATTGTAAAGAATTGTACCAGATAATCCTTTGTCGCTATTAGCATGTTCCTGAAAATTTTTAATAATTAGAAAATTAACAATAACAGAATCAAATTTTGCTTTTGCTTACATTTTTCAAGAATTAAATTTATATAGGAAATGTAAAGAAAGTATAATATAATTTAGAATTTGTAATATCAAAATTAATATTTCTAATCTCGAAAATTTGACACTGATGCTTTACTTTTTTTCTAAATTAATTGGCATATGTAGAAATGTTAAAAATAATTTATAATTTACAAAAAAATCATTTACGTATTAAAAATCCTCTTACTTGATGATATTTCGCTAACTTCCTGGTGTACTCGATGGCACAGGTTTCCGAATGACTCCTCGTGAGGTTGTCAAATTTTGACTCGATCTTTTTGCCGCAATCGAGGGATAAGCTCCTAACAGTTCTTTCTAGTTCAGCCAACTTCTGTCTTTCGTTGAGAAGTTTGAGCTTTTTAACGAATGGTAGACTGCGATGCTCCGGTGAGAGATCAGCGATGGAAACGTACGTCTTAGTCTGCTGTAGTATTTTCGGTTTACTTGTCTGTTGCAAATTGTCTTTGGAGGTTACTATGTTTTTCAACGTGGTTGAGGGTTTCTTGATCGACTCAACCTCTGATAGCGCAGTAGTCATAGGAATGCTCTGACCATCCAAGGACGATTGTTTATTCAATTGCAGGTTAGTATCTTCGGGAACGATCTCATCATGTGTTGTAAACAGAAAGGAGTTTTTTCTACTAGAGTGATGTTTGGTGAGGTTTGAAACCTCCGAGATTGGTACTGGATGTACTTCTACGTGACTCGATACATCCATCAAATTCAGCCGTTCCTCCATCTCTTCCTTTTCCTTCAACAGTTTGAGCCGAGCTAGCAGCGGAAGACCAGCGCCCAGCGGTGACACTGGCTGGTCCTGACTATTTGGAGCAAACAAGTCTTGATCATCGATCTTCTGCTGTCGTTTCAGCATCGATCTTCTCCTGCCATTGGCGAGCTTCGCCGCCAATGGCTGTTGTTCCACAGTCTCGTCCAATTGAGTATTAATCTTTCTTTTTCGGAGGACGTTCTTCAAACCCTTTACATCACTCTTCAATTTGTTGACAATATTTTTATTAATACTACTATTATCAGACGAATCATGGCCGGAAGACATAGACTGCCGCCTTTCCTTCTCTGCCTTCTGTGCTTCCATCAATCTCTTACGGCCAAGATTTCTTAAGATCTCTCGTGCCTCTGGATAATCCTTCATCGCTGTCAACATATCCTCCCGCGATAGGCTGAACAATTCGGAATAACCCACCGAACGAACGTCGGCTGTGCGTCTGAAAAATTTTCAAATTTTCAGCTTCAAAAATTTAACTCTCATAAAGCATGCAAATTAAGAATAGGTATATAACAATTTATGATTACAGGCAAAATTGTTTATAAAAAGGTAATTCTTTAAAATATTTCTCACATCTCTACAAAAAATTTGTTGACAATATTTTTATTATATTTGTTGACAATATTTTTATCTACAAAAAATATCAATCTTTTTTTAGAATTATTTGTATGTGAATAAGCGAGCTTCTTTCGCTGCTCATGTGAACTGTTTAGTTCAGCTCCGCGAGATTAGAAGTGGATCTATTATGAATCCTAACACAAACATACTCCGGGCAGAGAAAGAGGAGAATCAGAAGAATTTTACTTACTTATTCAATCCGTCCAAACTGAGTATACCAATCTCGCCAAAGAAATCCCCGGCTTTCATGGTTGTCAGTATTCTGCCAGTTTTGTTACACAGTACTTCCAATATGCCATCAGCTATTATAAACATTTCTCGTGCAACTTCGCCTTTCCGACATATCAAGTCACCGGGGGTAAATATATATGCCTTCATTTTCAGGACAAGGTCGCACAAAAATTCCGGTTGACATTCCTGCAAACAATACCGATGATTAGTCAAAGAAATTTTAGAAAGAGAAACATGTGTTTATAATACATCCATATTTTTCAGAAACATTAGGTACATATTGACATAAAAGGTGCGTTCCGTTTCTCGCATGATCCGCATAGTGCATCGTTTATCTTTGTTGCTGACCAAATGTTAAATAAGAATAATTGATGCATTATACGCATCATGTGTGAAACAGAACGCACTTATAGTATATGTTTTAATATATAGGTACGTAATAAAAAATGAAATTTTTGAAAAAATTCAATTTTCTAAAGATGCGTGTTTGCAAATCTTATAATATCGATGTAATTTCTATGATGACAAAAAAAATTTTTAAGATTTTGCAATTTTTACTTTTTTATAATATTAATCCACCTTCGATGAAATTTTTTCCTGTAGATAATTTTTATAAAAATGTTAATAATAGTTAAACTTTCGACAATATCATATTATATAATAACCATACTTTTGCTATTAAAACATCATACATCTCTCGATATAACATTTAATAATTGTCATACGAAAGCCGAGATCATATTTCGCAACGGATAAATTATTACAACTTTAATAACTGAACCATTAAATGTGCTACGAGAGGGCGAAATCACTGTTGCGCGAAAAGCATTTTATAATAATAAGTTGTATATACAGAAACGATCGTTTGTCTCGTCGTATCTTAAATATACCAACTATTTCATGTCTCTTGCTTAAACAAAATTTCTTGAGTTTAATATTTTAATATTATTTAATATTTAATATTTTAATATTGTATATTTTATTGTCTGGTATATATAATCTATTTATATTACTGAAGTTACTGTGTGTGTGTGTGTGTGTGTGTATTTTATATTACTACACACTGTTAAGTAAAAATGTTTTTGCCGATAGTTTCACTAATATCAAGTATATTACAGTTAATAAGATATAGGAGGATAAATTAAACAACTATTGGAACGTGGAATGAAACTTTGGTATAATTGATCTAGCACATAATAGGTATCGACGTTTTATTTTTTCATTGACTTACTAGCAATATTTCTAAAGGCCATGGCACACAAAAAACTTAAGGAATAAGACAAGCAGTGAGGAAATCAACATGTTGGATTGGCTACTGCACTTACATTATTTCTACCTTACGGATTCTATTGTGATTGGTCAATTCGCTTATTGTTTTACTGCTTTTAATTCTTTTGTGTGCCCTTACATTCTCAGTGGGCGTATATTATTTCGTTTGTTTCTGAAAAAGTATCATAGATGCGTAAGCTAATCGGAAGAGAGAAAGAGTAGAATTTCAAATTCAATATTCCAGTTTTTTCAATCTAAATTTGATAGAACCAAAATCGTGAACTTAGCACACATAAATTAGAAAACTGCTTGTAAAGAGCATTTAAGGTAAATGATAAATGATAATTTGTTTATTATATGCAAATCAATATTTTCGTATACCGCAAAATAACATAGTTGAGAAGCTAAATCAATTAGTTTGGTCTCTTATAACACTTGCTACCTATATATTACATTAAAATATTATATTATACATTTATTTAAATTTATAGTTTGATTTATATATTTTTTAACGCTTGATAGGATCAAATCCTTTCTACGATTCTATAAGTCCAAATCGAATTTTTCAATTTTGTTTTTCGGAAATACTTTTTCTTTTTATCTGACTTTTTTTTCAAAGTGCGACGCTATCACTCGTATTGTCTATGAAGAGTTATAAAAAAGATCTGCTCTGATCGATAGAATACTTTAAACGTCCTATTGTGAAGCAAGTTATTTGCTTTAAATGAATAAAGGGATCAGGTGAGAAAATTGGAGATTGGAAAACCGGATGTATCTAAAAATGAAACAATTTTTGGTTCCGTGTCCCAGCAAAGATTGAGTGTTCAATTAAAACGACTTTCAACGTCTTCAGCTACCATTTTCTCGTGCCTACTTCATTTATTTCAAGACGCGTTAATAGTTCTTTTCAAAATATCTCCGAGAATACTCGATTGACCAAAAAATCACGATCGTAATATAGATACCATCCGTAGAAGACGCACGATAAGTATACATAAGCTCTCGGACATGCCTTCATCGACACTGGAGAAAATAAAATTAATATTGTCGCTAGAAACGAGATCCTGAAAGTCGCATAAAATCACAGCGTCTACTTCCAGCGGCACGATCGCAATTTCAGGAGCTTCAATTAAATCGCGAATAATAACGTTCGTAAGAAGGAAATAACAACCTCGGAAATGCACAACATTCGAAACGCCTCGAGAAGATTTAACACTTTCGAATATCTGTTTACTTATAAATTTTTAGATGATAAAAAAATAATAAAATAACTCATCCAGTATATTTCGGGAAAAATACTGTTTATTTAATAAAGTTTATATTGTGGTATAATTGTATAATTTATTTTTGTGTAATCGAAGCTGCCAGCGAGTTAGTTTTGTTCTTTTAAAAGAAAGACAATATCGGCATCGCATTTGATGCTCACGGCGGTATGATCGCCGCTTGCGATTCGATCAATCATTAATCGCGAGAATCGGCGTACCGCGGCTTTGTAGCCGAGCCGGCGATTTTAATAACACGTCTTTCGATTTGGCTAAAATCTTTATATGCAGACGTTCGAACAGCTCAGTCAGTCACTCTTAATTCTTTAACAAGGAATCGAGTCAGTCACATCGCGAGCGTGTTATGTACTTTATATTAAAAGTTTTAATCAAGAAGTCCTATTCAAAAAATAATTAAAACAACAGGGCTACGAGCCAACATTCGTTAAACTGTAAAAGTCTTAGTAAATAAAAGATGTCATTAGTTAAAAATAAATATAAAGTTTAATAAAATTAAAATTTTAAAAACAGAGACTTTTCGACCTTAATTAAGTCCTATTCAATTCCGTCCATCCTATTAATATTTCCTATACTAATCCTATATAATAGCAGTATAATTACATATGGAATCGTAAGACATATGGAAAGAATTTGCTAGGAATGCAACATAGTCGCGAACTCTATCTCAGTGACTTATTTCTACCTTTCTTCCGATTTTTTTCTTTGCCTTTCATCGATTTTCCTTTCCATTCGGAGGAAAGGAGAAAAGTAAAGGAAAACAGGAAGGCGAGCACAAGGCATGTCTCTAAGGTAATGGAAATTCTTCAGACGCACGGAGATGATGATTGAGGTTCCTCTTTCACCAATTCCAATTTTTATCTGCTTACATTTCTCTCTCGAACAATATCCGCTGCGGTTATCAAATGCAGTAGTGCTGAAATATATGTGACCAGAGCACTTTGACAGCCACATAATAACGTGCGAACAAAAATAATGAGAGTAACAGCACAATATTTATATAAATTCTAATAAATCTAATATAATTAATATGTAACTTGGGAAATTTTAATTGTCTTTATAATTCTTGCGCAGGCTACGCAATTTACTCAAAATTGTATTGTAACCGTAGTTACGATATTGCGCTTTGCGTGCGGTTTGCGAAATTCAATTTGTCGACGTATCACTTTGATACATTTCTGTTGGTGGTTAACACAATGTGGGTGACATAGCATTGTATTAGCCATCAGTCGTCGACACTGTGGTTAGTGTATTAACTGATTAACACTTTCAGTGAACATTATATGACGTCCGTAACCTAGCAAGTGTTATTACATTATACATACGTTTAACGTGCATCCTTAAGTTGCGAAAAATATAGCTTGTAAAAGAAGAATTTCCCATTTACTTCATTGGATGGTTGGTCTTTAATGGGATTTTGAAAGATTTAGCCCAAGGGTGGTTCCCTTCTTTCAAGAACTCGGCAAAATGATCTTAAAGTGTGCGAAGAGTTTGAGAAAATTAAATTTAGATCAGTCTTTTCCAACTTGTAAGAAAGTGGGTTAACTGCGCGATTATGATCTCCGATGGTACTTGAATCTTTCCACTGTGAATGCTTCTCTCCAAATGTAGAGTTTATAATAGGAGATTTTCGCGAGAGCGTCATGCATATACAAAACATATATTATTGTATTATATCTGTTCGCCGTCAACTCTGCACCGAGTACGTATTACATGAAGGAGTTGAGACGGAATTTATTGTAGCGTAATTTATACATTTCACGTCCCTTGTTACCGACGGACTTTCCACATCGCAAGATAACTTCACGTTTCGCGAAATGAGTCGACCCAGAACAAACAGTATTTCACACTATTGGATGTTTCTAGAATGGGTAGCAAATACATGTATACTGCAGTGACAATAAGTTTTTTAACTCGTCTGAATGTTTAATTCTTGGCTCGTATTTTTCTGCATATTAAGAAAAATATTTGCTTAAATTTCACAAACCAGAAGATTCTGATCATATCATTCAGAATTCGGGTTATCTTAATTAAAATTTTAGTAGATTCAACTAGAAAATTTTCTAGTAAATTTAATCAGAAAATGTTCCGGTTAAATATCTATTAAAATTCTAGTTAATATAATCGGAATTCTAAATCAAAATCTTCTGATTTGTCTACTTAAAACTAAATCATTTTTTTTTCACAATCAGTATAAGAGATTCAAGATATTTAAGTAGTGACTTTTTCGGTTCACAGACAGTTTAGCATTAGTGCTCTCTACTTTCCTTCTTCAGTAATCAATAAGTGTCTGAACAACTCATTTTGTATGCTCCAAATTCAAATTAATGAAATTTTAGATGACATCGACCGATTGCTTTGACAACTGTCCGAAATGCGCCGACTTCATTATCCCGGTACTTGTTATCTTCAAGATAAAAAGTATATCCTAACAATCTCTGTCTCAGAAGAAAGTTGAATCAGTTTATTTCCGCCCTACTTTACTTTTAAACCATGAAGCCACCCTGTTTTTCATAATCGAATTTTCGTCCAGGATACGACAAAGTACTGACATAATTTCCGAATAAAATGGTATACACTGGAATATAAAATATTTATCTCACTGAGAAAAAACTGACTCTGGAGCCGACAAATCTCATTAGAAACACGTCCGTGGTTTTAAACATTGCGATAAAGTGTACGGGCGACAAAAAAAGCACAAGATGAGAAAGATTTTAATTAAAATGTTCAATATACTTAATTTCTGTGTTGAGGCTTGCCGTTATTTCCTCGTTAGAGGCACAGAATCAAATTTAATCACGTCTGCAGCGGGCGTCCAGATGCTCGCGTTTCGCGTAAATAACGTTATAATATAGGTATCAAGTAAAGGCTACTACACTGTAAAATAAGCAAATTTATCTGAGTTTAAAACATGTGTAAATTGTACGAAGTGATGTAATGTACTTTAGCAACAAATCATTTACTATCGTAATATTAATCATTGCTAACACGAAATAAAATAAAACATTTTATTTCAGGTTTAATCGCAGGTTTTGAATGAAGAGTAAGAGCTAAATATATTTAATTAGAACAAGATCAACGTTCCAAACAATAAAGGCTAATGCGAGAGTCAACTGCAGATGTAATGGCGAAGTTTTAATTAAAATTATACTCAAGTTCTCTCTACTTCATATATTTCCTTCTTGAACGTTTCAATATTTAACTAGCTTGATTTTAATGTACATCCGTATTAAAATTTGCGATAAAAGTGTAAAATAGAATTTTACTAATAATAAAACACTTCCGATGATGAACTGAAGTCAGAAATACACGAGGAATAAAATTATATACACGAATGTTGTAAAGTACGTCTATACGTTCTCATACATCATTTTTCAAAGCTGCGAACCAAAATCGTTAATATCTTGAGCAGGATCATCGAATAAATAATGTTACGCTGTGAGTTTACTAGATTTTGCAAATATCATTAAGTGCTGAGACAAGATAGCGAAGTTTCCGGCTTTGTTTTCTTACGGGTGAATCCATCACGAAAGGATGGCCGCAAATACTTGACGTACGTTCGATAACTTCAATTACTTCTCCCGTTTGGTTGTGTATTCTAGAAGAAGAGAAAATAAGATAAAAAGAAAAAGAATCGCGAAATTCGTCGGTTTTCTAAAATTGAAAATTTGTCCTAATTAATTATATATCAAATGTATCTTGCGGAATTTTCACACGTGGAGTGCAGTTGAATTTTTTGAATGAAACGTTTCAATCATTCATTACAATTTGTCGCTATCTTTCTCGATTTATTCTTCGTTGAGAACCGTCGAGAACCCCGAGAAGCTTCGCACAAGCTTACAGCGGCACTCCATTTTATATCATAATTTATCACGCATTATCCATTTGTTCCAGAAGTTTAACTTTTTAGATCTACCTTCTGCATCGCGTTTTTTTCCCTATTCTTCTTTTTACTGGTTTCCATGGAAAAGCGATTTTTTCACTAAAAAAGAAATATATCCCCGGCGCAGTCATTTTACGATATGTTAATAATGTGATTTCTACAAATAAATTTATTAGCGTTAAAGCAAAAAAAACTTCATATTGAACAACTTCGAATATTTTTAACGTGTACGACGACGCGGGGTAAATACTGTACGGCAAAACTCGGGACGCGCGATTAAAAGAAAGAAAAAGAGAACTCTGATGCCGTCACCTTCTCTCCGTATAACTTTCCGTATACTTCCTTGAGTACTTTTCCGCACCTGTATTCACTTTTTCTCATTTTTATTAGATAACAAGCTTCCGTTCGCGCAGCAGAGGAAAAGTGTTTACGTGAGTGAATCTTTTTTACATTAAAGTTCCTAAATCACCCAAATTACTGCGATCAACTGGTATAGCAACGTACAAACTGATCGCTCGTAGAAAACACTTTTATATAAGTACTCTTAACGACCTTAGTCTTAAGTGACTGTCTCGAACTTGGCGATAGTCTTTTGCCGCGATAAAAGAAATTATTTTGGCATGTCATCCGGTATGTTATCTCTTCTGAGTTTGTCGGAAGAGTCACAGCACCTACTCAAAAAGTAGCGAGAAATAATACACATAAATGGACCAGCAGGAATGTGATGCTCGAATTGAGTTATATGTCATAAAGGTGGTCGTAACGTTTTTAAAATCTCACTCATGTGCTCTCTTAAAAGTTGCTCTACACCCTCTAGGTGTAAGGTACACAAACCAATGTTTCCGCTCAAATATTTGCCCGGTTTTAACGTCGTTCCCTTAACAGAGATTCATATATATATATATATATATCCCGAGTCTATTTGAAATCTTCCTTAGGTATTTCCTATGAAAAACTGTGCGGTGTTTTACCACCGCAAATTGCACTTACTTATTAAGACATTGGGTCGTGTGATACAATAAGATTAAAAAGGGACAATTTTCATTTTGTTTTGTAGAAATGAACACGACAAAAAACATGAGTTAACATGTCAGAAGATTTTTCTATCATATGCCTAACAAGCTGTTGTAGAATATTTTAATTGTAAAATCCATTAGTATCTTCCCAAGTTTTACGTCTTTAAATTAATACCAAGAACATTTATTTTATTATTGTTTATATAATTTATGTTATAAATATATATACAAATACTTATTACGACGTATTTACTAAATTAAGTTGTTTGTGCGATATCATTAACGAAAATATCGAAAAATACAAAATGCAAAATAACGTTATTTCAGATGTCATTTTAATCATATCAGTCAATAAATAATACGAATTTACTTTTAAGCTGATAAAGTGATTTTAGAGTTGCTAACGAGATACAGCTGTGTATTGGGTATCGCTGTAAATATGCTGATATGTATGTATTATGTAAATACATACACAAAACGTATATAAAAACGATCTGTTTTAAAAGAAGAATACCTGATATTTCATTTAAATACATAGCAAAAACATGCATCGTTCTCGGATTCTTATAATAATTTCAAACCTTCCTGATTATTGCAACACTTGTAAAAATATAACTATATATTAAAAAAATCATCATTAGATGAGTATTTTATAATTTCCTAAAATGTTTGTTCTTTTTTTATTTCACAACATTATAAATGTATCATATAACTATTCTATTCTCAATAATTGAATTTAGTTCTTTTGGCTCTTTTTACGTGATCACAAAAATACAGTAAATTTGACAGTCGTTCATTGAAAAATGGCAGCTAACGGAGCATGTAACTCACATATTGAAGCAGCAAGATTGCGAAGGTTCGCGTGTCCTTTCACGAATCCTAGGCGCGCAAGAACTGTGATCCCTCCTTCAAATAAAATACCGAAGCACACGCCTTTTCATGAACCGTTTGTACCTTTTCTCACACTATTCATCTCTCCGTTTACCGCCAACGATAAAACTTCCGACATAATCGAGAAAATATTTTTCGTCCTAGCCGACCGTTCTATGCACTGAGCCAATTTTCTTTTCATTTTTTTGCAATATCGGTATGCAGCTTCTTTTCATTTCTTTCCTTACTTTTCTCCTTTGTTCTACCTTTGGATGACGAGAAAAATCTCCGGTCTATGCAAATTTCTCACAGAAGGAAAAGAAAAGCGTTGATAGAAATCCAATCATTAGGTGAAACAAGTTTGTAAGTAAATAACAAGAGTAAGGAAGTAAAAGTACTGGTTTTAAATAAGAAGTATAAGTCAAAGCATATCTTGAAAATAAGCTTTGCATGAATAATCTTTCGCTTTTACTACTAACAATAAGTATTGCTCGCGTTTTAAAGAACTTTATTTTCTCGTGAACGTTACACCGCTTATGCTGCAAATATCAATAATAATCCAACGGCGCATGTTTGACAGAATTTTAATGCACAATTTTAATGCAACTTATATTCTTATCTAAAAAGTAAACATTGTAAATTCAAGCGAATATATTTACGATAATATTTAACGAAACATTTGCTTCGACAAAGAACCATGAAAACTGTTCATTTTCCTCAGAGCCAATTTAACTTCTATTGTGAACGAACGTGAGAATCCCTATTTACATATCGTTGCCTTTCATCGAATTTATTGGAGATGCGAGAAGAGAACTATTCTCCGAGAAATTCTCGAACTCTACGTAAGCGGGGGAAACTTACGTGAAAAATGGTAACCTTCTTCAGTACTGAGAGGTTTACGTGCAGCGCCAGTTCAGTCTTGAGCTTATCCGGGAGTAAGCCAAGGGCGGTGTTGATGTCACCCCCGCCGTGCACTCGGCCGCGCGACCAGCTGTAGTCGTACCATCTGAGCACCCTTCGTTTCATATCTTCCGGTACCTTGTGATGTCTCATGTAGGTCTTGGCGCCATCCAGAAGCCTCTCGAACTCAAGACGATTCGCATTCTTGTTAGTGATGACGTTACCAACCTGGCCGACGATGGTGGCAAATATGAAGACGCCGATCAAGTAGCTGACTATGGTAAAGACGTATCTGCAAATCAGAGAGACAATCAGTTCGTGAAGAATGTGATTAGTGTTCACCGTTTATGAACGAGCGGCCCTTGCCGGAGCCTCCTATTTCTCTCTTTCATTTCCTCTTATTTTTCTTGCTTGCTTTCCTCGCGTTTGTCCTCCCCCTCCCCCTCCCCCTAACCTTTTTTCTCTCTTTGGCCTTCTCTCCTTTCCACCACTTTTCTCTCAAACCACATTTTCCCCTTCTCTCTCTCTCTCTCTCTCGCATAATGAATAAATAATATCAGAATGATTCAATTGTTTACAATTGAGAATAATTATCTTCAATTCAATATTTTCCTAAAACATAAATTAACTATTAAATAATAAAATTTTCGAGTAGCAGAAAGAATAATTAATTCTCTAATTTAATTTTAAACGCAACGTCTAGTCTCGTCGTATAGTCAAACTTAAAGACTCCAAATGGAACGTGTGTAAACAAACGTGTGATTCAAAAAGACATACGCCATAATCCAGACAATTTGCGGATAAATTACGAATTGTGCAAACCGAGAATCAAGAGCGGAAGCGATTTCTCAGTAGGGAACCCCTCAGGGGCTACAGATTCACAGTCGAATTGTGGGAATGCAGTTCATGTTTCGCTCGACGTTATTCAAGATAAAGCGAGATCAAATTTAACCGGCTGAAATGAGATTTCAGCCGGTGTAGAGCTCTGCAGACAAATCGACCTTCCTGTAGCGGTAGAATACTCGTCAGATTATTAAGCTACCTTGCCGCTAGGTTATAAGTCAAAGAGCATGCCGGAAAGACACGTGATGCCAGAAGTATCTGGGCCGAGAAGTTTGCGGTCTGAGAAATGATAATTTGTTTCTCTCGCGTGCAGACAACCTCGAAACAACTTTGATATTGTTAGTTTGACGAGCAAATAAGAATGAAATTTTAATGAAGCAGGTAAAACAATTTTGCAAGTTCTTATTTCATTGAATCGTCTCGTAGAACGGCGTATTCAAGGGGTCCGAGACTATGGGTGACTCATCAATTCACCCTTGCAAACGTTCCCCCGGTATTCGCGCGTCCGAGGGAGGATATTGATTCGTGAGATATCACTTTCCATTTCACGACAACAAACCACATCTACGTCTTTATATTATATAATTTATTTCCCATTTCAAAATCACTGTTTTGCAATAAAAAAAAAAAACGCAAGTAGCTCGACAAAATAATACTGTATATAAAGTGTTTTAGGTATAATGGAAAAAATTTTATTCTATCGCATTTTTAAAAATTAAGCAATATTTTATCATTCGACATAAAAACGATGATTAAATAGATACGTGAAATCGAATAGGCTTTTCAAGTTAAATGGTTTTATTGAGACATTTAAATCGATCGCAGTGCCATCATGTTCGAGTACCAGTGTAATTAATCTACTGCTAAAAGCGATAATTTGCGTGACCAATGTCTCACTAAGCTCGTTTCTTATTGTTCTCTCATTGATAATGCTGCACTCAATACTTTGTTATTACTTTTGATATGAAAGTATGTAAAAAATATACATTAAAAAAGTTATACTGAAAGAGTGCGTACTGAAAAGGATTAGTTAAAAAAGAATAAATATATATGAACATCCTATGTATACTCTAATATGAATAATGTATTTTATTCTCATAATTTTGTTATACCAATGGAAAGTTAAACGACATTAAAGTCATTATAATTTATTGTAAAATTATTTGCTTGAGAAAAGCTAATTGATATTACAATAATTCTTAACTCTCTTTCATGTTTTTTTTAATTATTTATTTAAATATGAAAAATTAATATTCTTTGTCACAATTTTTTATAATCTATTTTACTTAACTGGTTTATTCCTTGATTTCTATTATAAAATATTGCAATAACTTTTTCGCAACTTTAATATTTTTTACAATAATATTCTACATAAATATTTATAAAGAAGAAAAATATTCTCTATTTTAAAACTGATGTAAAATTTTCTCATTTTACATCAGAATACTTTCAGAATCCGTAATTTTACTTGGCATGGCAGAAGAAAACGAAATTATAAGAACAGTCGTGTTGAATATCGAAATTTTTTACGCTTTATGTAATTTATGTATCAAAAAAGTTCGTAAATTTTGAGCTTTTTATTATCTCAGCTTTTCTCTCGCGTATAATTTGTGGAAAATTCGTCGATGATATTAGTCACGTTATTGACAATCAATAAATCAATCCGTGATCTCGTCAATGCGCGTCGCGCGAGTTGCTATTACATGACGGATATACGATAACTCCGTTAAATCACGGTTTGCTACTCCACTCCGCTAGACACGTCCGAAAACGGATATTGTATCGGGTTTCCATTTGCCGCGGGATTAAGTGTGGCGCGTATGTTTATTTAAAGTCACACCATCAAAATTACACGGAGAGCGATCAATAGGTATGTACAGCGACCTCGCATATATACCAATAGTATATTATCGATTATGCTGCATCGCGCGCTGTTGATATCGCGTTAAAGCTGAATTTCCGTGATGCTACTCGCCTATTTCAGGAGACGCGGTAGTGTCTCCTGCCATGTTCAAAAAACTACTACTTAATTTAAATTAAAAGATTAATAAAAGAGTTTTTTTATTTTGACTCTTATTTGCCTTGTTCCTTCTTTGTTTTTGAATACTAAGAGTCCTGTATATTCTCTCTATTAATAAAAGATTGTAGTGTCTTTTATTAATCTTTTAATTTGTCACTAATTAACATATTTGCTAAAATAGACAACGAATTTTATTAAAATAAGAAGTGCACTTCGTTGCGGCCAGGAAGAATCGAGAGTTTTCGCGCGATAAATTTTGTTGCTGGCGACACAACAAAAATACCTCCGATCGGCTGACAATATCTTTGCCGGATTTATCCGTTTGTAAAGCAAATTGCTATCGCGAGAAAATATCGACGTAACGGTGTACTTTGATATGTTTGATAACGATAGTCCTTTGAATGAATTGTAATCGAAAGCTAACATTATCGATGTAAAAACCAAAGGAGAATTGCCTTCTCAGATCGCTGAAAAACCACAGTTTGCTTGGTCAGCAAACAAAATTAAATCTCACATTAATAGAGCAATAAAGTCTGCAGCAGATCTTGTAAGGAATTTCATGTTCGCATTTCCTCCACCAGAATTGCGTTATGTGAGACGAATAATGAAACCAAATAAATTAGACAAAAGATTTCTGTTGAATATATTACAAATTTAGATTTATTCTGCTCCTCCTCCGCCTCCTCCCCTCCTCCCCTTCCGCTCTCTGTACGTGTTTCTTGTATGCTTTATTTCGATGTATCTTGAATTATTCATAGGTTAACAAAACGCTCTAATAGATACGCACGTGCGTGATTTAACATATGTACGAGATATACCAGAACGTGTCAACTATAAAATCTCCAATTTCGTTTCATCATTCGATCAAATTACGAATAATCAAAGAGCAGTGCACGATTCCGAGGTTTCGAATTCATTGGCGTTGAAGTTGAATTGACAGTCGGTGTAACGCGATCTCAGGGAATGAGTGCTATACTGGCGTCACAGTATCATCGCAGCGGTAACTTGATCGCGCTACGTAGTATCTATTTTTTTTTTTTTCGGCTTGTTAATAGTGAAAAAGTTTAAAACCAACTAATTTAAAACTCTCTCCTGAAACTACAACGAAGTTTCGTTCAACAACATGAAAACATATTTCCGCAACTTGTCGCAGTGTTATTATCGCTTTACAGCCGCGCAACGTCAATTTCTGCGAGCCTGTTCCACAACTCCGCAACAACTTCTTCTTATTTTTAGCTGTTATTAATTGCTTTTCTCAGTAACTACATAATGCAACAGAGAATAACCGCTTTATTATTATGTTCTAGTTATTAGAATATGTTATTTATATATTTCGCAAAATAAATACAATAAAAATAATAGTTAAATCTCTTATAAAAATGGACTCTTATAAAAATGACAGTTGTGTAATGCAAGAGGACTAGTAAGAGTCAAATAAGTAGAAATAATTTATTAAAAATTCAAATAAAAGTAATGAGATACAATGATCAAATTATAAGTTTTGCTTTACATAAAACGCAAAATAGCATACCTTAACTTTATATGGATTTTGCGTTTAATAATATATAATAATAAGATTGATTTTTGTTATATATAAGTTTATTTTTACATCTGAAGAGGGCTGAATTCTTAATGTAAAACCATATGCAAGTAAAATATTCCCATAGGTATAATTATTTAAATTAACTTCGAGTATGGCTGAATACTGTCGTCGGCTGCGACAGATACGATTTGTAGTGCTGGACCGCTGAAGTCCCTAACACTCGGCTGCGGTAGGGATGGAATTTTAATCCGATCGTTGCCCTTCCAAAACGAGGGGAAATACGAGTGCTTTGTCGCCGAAACGGCTAAACTGCTCGCAAAACCTAGTAAAACCTCGTTGATCACGTGTCTTCCCTTTTCAGCAACCTCTTAAAGGAATATTAAGTTTGAGATTGAAAATTAAGACGTTGCAAAGTACTCAGCGTGAAACCCATTTCGCATCGATGCAATTTACGAGACCAAAACATCCCTTCGAAAAAGTTTTATCAGTGTGTACGAGAGAGAGAGAGAGAGAGAGAGAGAGAGAGAAAAAGAAAGAGAGAGAGAGAGATATATATATATATATATATACCCTGATCCAGATCAGATAGACCCGATTAATTCAAATCGATCGCAACAGGAGTAGCGCCAATGCATAGCACGAGACGACACGGTTGCGACTTATTCAATTTTTCCGATAGAATATTCATGACATAATATTCGGCCATCTCATACAAACGTCGAAAAATACGATTACATTTAGAATTGTAAAACTTAGCGTTCCGAGCTGTCGTCAGTATCTCTGTTTCATGGCTTTAATGATAACGAAAGCGCAGAACGATTGTATTTCGACGCTCGTTCTCTCAGCTGTGCTTCTCGTTTAAGCCAATCGTCGCATAAATCGTGTTTCCGATCCTCACTGCGCACTTCGCTGCAATTTCATTGATGTTCGCAACATAACTTGATTCTACACATACCGTACGAATTAGCGAAGATACATTCGCAGGTATATCCATATGAAATAAACCCTGGATGTTTCTCTTGCATTTTCTAATAATAGAAATATCTAATAATAAAAAATTGGATCTTTTCACGACATAAAATATTCAATTTGTTTAAGTATAAAGGTACAATACTGTATTTTTTCTTGTGTATATTAAAAAAATCTGATATCGGAAAAAAAAACGATGTCAAAATCATTAGAAATATTAATCCTGTCATAGAGAAAAAATGATATAAATATTTTCGTATTTTGGGATACAATATTTTTAGAACAAAAATAAAAAGTTGCAAAATATTTCCTTAACAAAAAAATCAAGCTTTAATATTTTATTCTAATGTCGTCAATTCATTTCGATAAAAAGACTGCACGTGAGTTAGTAAGGTAAGGGATGGAAAACCTAAAAATCAACTGAAAGTTGCATCACATGCCGAGCCCTGTTTCAACAAAACCTTTTCTTTGTGTTATATGCTACAATGAGCGCATTTAAGTAGGAGGTATGGTAGGAATATGTTGGAGCATGCAGGTGCATATGATGCAAATGAACTATATACAGGAGAATACGCAGGGGGGAGAGGCAATTGTCCTAAATTTATCCCCTAAATTTCAGCAAAGTTATATTAATATTTGAGATATTAAGATATTAATTTGATTATAAGACATTACAGACGAAATAATAAGGTCCAATCACAGTAAGGCCATAACGTATAAGTGTCGGAAACAAAGACTGGCTTTAAGTATGTTTCAATAAATCGAGAGAGAGAGAGAGAGAGAGAGAGAGAGAGAGAATAGAGTTTGTCCCCCTCCCTCCCCCTCAACTGAAATCTTGCATACACCCTTGCTCATATTTTAATATTAAAAAAAATATGTTTACTAAATTTCTTAAAAATTTCTTTAAAAGAGTTAGTTACTAAAAGTTATAAAAAATTTTATGAGGAAAGTACGATATATATTCAGACTTCAAATATACGTCTAAAATGAAATTTATGTTATCTTATAAATAAAATTTTTATATTAAGTTTTATTATTATTAGAGAGTAAAGAAAATATTGTTATTTTTTATGCAAAAATGTGTACGCAAAATAAGAATATGCGGTAGAAAAATAAACGATCAGATTATCTCGCTGCGAAATAATAAGCTACGACAGTTTATGGACACGACATCATAAATATTAGCGGTTTCACTTAATAGTTATGCAAATCACTGTTACTCGTACAATTACAATAAAATCAAATTAAGAGTGCTATGTGTACCCCTTATATTTTATGTTTCAGGGATAAAAATAACCTGGCTCTCGAGTAATTCATCAATTTTCGTACACAAAAATTGTGTAGGCATGTATAAAAAGAACATCAAATTCTTAAATTGAACATAACTGAATACTAATCGTGAAATGCAAATCAGCTAGGAGGCACGATAGTATTTGGTGATAAGGCAAGCGCAGCGATTCTGCCGTGTTATTATATAACAATGAGAAATCTACAGTGGCTTTTGCAAAGAGATATTTCAAGAAAATAGACACGTCCTCGAGAGCGAAATTTCTTTGGATTGAAGGTTTATATGCCAATCATACAGTATTGTCACTCAAAAATTCCACTACCCTTTTATTGAACACAGGTATTGTTGATAGTCAGAGTATTCATCGACAATCAAAGAGTAATTAGCTGCCATCTAGCTGACTATTTAGACCGAGTTGGTGGCCGCAATATTTACAAAGAGTCCCCCCCCCCCCCCCCCGGCTTTCACGTTCACTCTTTCGCCTCTCGCAATCCCGTTCTCTTATTTTTTTTTTCTATTTTATAACGATACTGTAAGCTGGGCCGAGAAAAAATGTCGGACGCTCGACGCGATGTCGGGACTCGAACCGAGGACCTCGTATGTAGTTCGAAACACAAAGCCACCGCCTTGCCGCGGAGCCACACAGCCCGACGCGTAGATCTTTAATTGATATCTTACAATACCAATACCCAGAATTATGTTGAAACTGGAGGATCTTCGTTTGCCGACGAGCGAGGCTCCGGATAGCACCACCCGCTTGGTCTCTGTCAAAATAATAATAAGATTCTAATTCCTCGGGACAACGACATATAGACGGAGCCTTTCACCGAGGGGTAGGGAATAATCGCGGCGAGAGGGGTAAGGTCACTTCGACTAGTTTCGTCGTGACTCGAATATGTTCAGAAACAACACAGACACTCATTTTTAGAAACGTAACTTTGCTGTAAAATGCCGTAAACAGATCCAAACAGATATGAGATGAGAATTGGATGAGAACCGTTGATAAATATGTCAGAGTAAAAGGCGAAGTAGCCGAATGTTAACAAGTCTCGGCGAAATAAGCCGATGTGCCCTCAGTTGCCCTAATTGGGCTGTGGTGGGAGTGCTTCCGTCTTGCCCCGATTATTCCGCCCTCCCTTGCCTAAAGTAGTAGCTCATGCTCCGTCTATATGTTGTTGCCTCGGGATGCCTAGGCATCTAAATTTATTAACTAACTTAGAAAAGATAAGGGTAAATCTTCGGAATAGGGGAAGCAGCTCTGATCTTCTTGACCTTGACATATGTTGTCAAGGTCAAGAAGATCGGAGTTGCTTCCCCTATTCCGAAGATTTATCATTATGTTACTCACTCGGCGTTGGTCTCTGGCGTAGGAAGATCTCCTATAGTTGTCAGTGTCAGCGTGGCCCAATATAAACAAGCAAGATATTTCCGAGCCAGGGTAGAATATTTACCGGGCCGATACGGGTAAACCCATTCCCCTTTGAAGCCCTCAGCCTCACTCAGCAGGTAGTAGAAGCAACCAAACCAGTGCGCCAATATAAGCAGGATGTGGATGAGATTCAGTACGCGCCAGAAATTCGGATAAACTGTGCGCGATTCCACCATGTAATAAAAGTAGTACAGTCGATAAATTTTCAGAAACCGAGGAAATCTCAATATGGGGTTGTTGCTAACATCCAGTCCGAACACACTGAGCGGTGTCAATGCAAATATATCCAGAAAGAAAAACTTAGAGAACAGATAGTGTCCAACCAGTTTCCATCCATCGTAAACCATGAGTCCCTGCTCCAAATAACCGGTACGAAACTGCACAATTACATCCATGATAAACACAACATCACTAAAGTAGTCAAGCATTAACCAAGTAATGTACACTAGTTCGTTCAATTCCGGTAAACTTTGACGCACGATTAGTGCCCAGAGATTGTACAGGACGCACACTGACACCACCATTAGCCAGTAATAGTACACATTTTCATCCGGATTGATGACAGTTCTGGACGATTTTCGAGACCTGCGAGATCGCTTGCGAGATCGTTTCTTTTTCTTCTTCCTACTGTTGTTGGACGTATCATCTTCGCCTTCGGTGTTGTCGAGGGTCTCTTGACTTCTCGGTCTTGGTCGGGTAGAAAACCTTTTCAGAAATGAATCTTCGCGTTTAAGAGGCGGTTTTCTTGACATTGCGGAGGACAGCTGTACAGTTGTGCGTAATTTCATCCACCGTTGATTGCTCTTTGTTCTACGGCAGAAAGATAAATAGGTTATCAATTAAAAATGGTCGCGTTCAGCAGACTCAACTGTTGCGGAGCGGATCTGTGAGCGCTCACTGCTATTGGCTGATTTAAAAAATTATACCAATGCAGTAAGCGCTCACCAATCCGCTCCGCAACGATTCAGTCTGAACGCGACCAATAAAAAGAAAAATGGAGCTTAAATCGCATGATGTCTTCCAAACTCAATCGAAAAATCCCGGATCAATTTATCTTTACATTGACAAATTAATCGCACAAACTTGAAAAATTTTTAAACTTACATTTCCTTACGGACCCACGTACGTACGTTTTCCATCATGCGACTTATCAATAGCAATGCAAAATAAACTCTAAACCTCAAAACACATGAAATGCATAATAGTGCATAAACATAGCATAAGACCGCTGGACCAATGAGCACCTTATGTTAATTAATATGGCAACTTTATGCTGGATGCTTATTGGTTCAACAGTTTTATGTTATGCTCATGCATGTTATGTTATGCATTTCATGTACGATAGGCATGTACTCGCAGCGATCATCAGCGAGTGCAGTTTGTGTTATGGGAGATAACATACCTCCAGGAAGATAGGGGTGATACCTACTCTCTGTACTCCAATCACTGTCGTCCTGTACTTCCTGTATTATTAGTGCTCTCTCTCTCTCTCTCTTCTCCCACGCAATTTTATTAAATAGATATATAAAAATAATAATAATTAATACGTTAAAAATGGCGAATAAGAGTCAAATTACAATTTAAAATCTAAATCTGATAATTTATTCTAATATTCTATATTGCGAAGAATATCACGTAATTTTTTGGCGTTTCGTCCCGGCTTCCACTACTGGACTCATCAGTAAGGTATTGTAATGAAAGCCTACCTTAGACGCCGGTGTAAGTTATTAAATCGAGATTCTATGTAAAAAGATATACGCGTGTCTCAGCACTTGCGAGAATTTGCGAATATCGATAGACCTCTGATGGCGGGTCGACGTAGTAATATTCTTCGCAATATTTATCCAAAGTAAGAAATAACGTTCTATTAATATATGCAGTCCCCCCAAATTGCGCGCCGAACAATTGTCAGTCTTGCAACGCAAATCTAATAATCTGATTTTTAAATGTCCCCTCTTCTTAATTATTAAAAATAATAGTTAATATAAGGCTCCACAAGTATAAAACATATCAAATTAATAAAGGGCAAAGAGCCGATAACATAACAACTTAAACTTTAATATAAATAAGAAGTAGCTACAAACGTTTCGACTCCGATCGGATCATTTTCAATGTTACAAAATTCCATGTTACAATTTTAAAAAATTCAATTCGGTACAAAAAATTCATAATCTTATAAATTAATTCATTATCTTAAAATAAATTATTTATGAGCAAATATATTATACAAATCGTAAATAAATGGAAATGAATAAAATTAATATTATGTGTGAACAAATAACGAAACGTTTGTAGCTACTTCTTATTTATATTAAAGTTTAAGTTATTATATTATCGGCTCTTTGCCCTTTATTAATTTGAGATATATTTAATTTCTAATCAGGATTCTGCGTGACTGTGAAAGGCGCGAGTTCCTCGTAAATCTTACGCATGCATGAGATTCTCCGCGTGATGTCACGCAGGAATCGCGTAGAAAATATATCACAAAAGACGCCTTCGTTCAGTTTTAAATAAATAGATCATGGCAGTTTTCGCTATGATCTATTTATTTAACAAACACACACAAAAATATATAAATATATAAGGCTCACTTCTTTACAGGAAAGTCGAATACATTCGTTGTATTCTTTAAATTCTAAGAAGAGACAAGTAGTTCTTGCTTGAAATAAGAAATGAGCGAGAATCGAGATTCAGATTAGTTAGTTAGAGTATCAATATAATCAGACGAAGAAGACAGATAGACTGACAGACAAACAGACAGACAAACAGACAGACAGATAGATAGATATGTCTTCCATTAAGAAGTTTTATTTTAAATTAATAAAAAAAAAATAAGTTTTTGAAAGCGTTGAGATATTTATTCTAACAATAAGTACAGATTGTGTGATTAATTGTGGAACACAATATCGGTCAAATGGCCGCCTCGAATATTCTTATAAATGGTCATTCTTTTGAAAAAAAATTTCATCACGTTTTTCCACAATTGCGGTTCAATTTTGCCAATAACAGTTCAAATATTGTCTTTGAATAAATGCAATTATAAAATATTTATTGTTTTATTTTATAATCTATTCTTAATTTCTTTTAAAAATACTTCTTTTAAAAATATTTTCTAATAACTTTTAGCAATATAAAAAAA